AACATTAGTGCAACTGGTTAAGTAAACGAACATGCTACTGAAAAAAAAACCTTTAGACTGCCCTGTTCTTTAAAATTCAAAGATTTAAAGATCGTCTTAAACTGCAAACGGCGGATTCTTTTTCGATTTAGTATTATACGTTCCTCTTTCAGATTACAAACGCACTATGCGTGGTAACTTGTTTGATAAACAAGAAAAAATGTCTACCGTTTAAAAACTCTCTCAATAACTGTTCTTTTAATATTATTACTTTGTGAGAAAAATAATGCAATCATGGATTGTTCATTTGATTTTTTTAGACGAAAGCAAAGATATTACAAGAAATGGAAAGACTAAGGAAAACCCATATGGATTTGTTTTTTGTACCAGTTGGTAATTCAGATGTGGTACGTATCAGCCTCTATCGTTTTACTTTCCTTTGGCCAGTATTATATAACAGTTGCACATAATTGTCCCATACTTCATCTCTGGGTCGCTGCCTAGTTGTCTAGTCTTGTTATTAGATTTAAACATATTTTATTGCCGAAAAAGACATATACATACATGTAAACAGTTACAATACAATGACATGACATATTTGGCAAAAGGGTTGACCCACAAGTTCTCTCAATATTAGCAACGGGTCTTCCCTGAAGTCTTGTTATGTGTATTTCTATGTTGAATGAGGGTCCAACAGTCCTGTAAGGCAAAAAAGGCAGTTTCCCTGTAGAGTACAAGTTTCACCCGCTAAGCTATAAATCTTTTGCCGATGGCCTGTGCTTTCTCCACAACGTGCACGTACCGAGGGGAAGAGAGAAAGAGTTCAGTCTTTCGGGACTTTTAACGATTAAATATGGGTTGAACCGTTGAAAGGGGCATTAGAGATTTTGCACTGATCCATAACAATTATCAGCAAACCCATTCTAGCCGAGTCTGCAATTTTACTGTAAATTTTGTGTTTTCATTTCTTTCTCCCGGGGGATATCCCCTTTCCAGTTGTATCATTTAATAGAATTGATTGTGTTTCGATATTCCCGTCAGATGCTTATGTGAGAAAAATGACGTCAAATATCACAATCGTTTGACTTTAAGGTCCTAATATTCTTATCATAGGTAGACAAAAATGCTATAACTCTTGATTAAATTGATGAAAAGTCCAGACAGTAATATTTATGATATTTGTGGAATTTAGGATTTTCACAAGACAATGGCGGCAATTTCAGACGGTACGGTGCTCGACTGCAGACAAGGTAGAAGGCTGGCGAGGAGACAATATTTAACTGTATGTATTTAAAGATATTTGATGAATATTTTGTTACATGTAGTGGTGACCAGTAATGCAAAAATTGTCATGATTGCTGAAATCTGACTATGAAAATCAAACTTTTTCAATGGTCATCAGTAGCTTTCATGAACTTTTAAGTGTTGAAAAGTGAGTGGTTCAAGCCGGTGTTAGGGGGCGTGAGGAATGTTGCACTTTTTCATTACCCATCATGTACAGACTCAAGCAAACCATTTTCATGTATTTTTTTTCGTGATTAATGCTTCCCAGTGATCACATTTTGTCCGGATTTCATTCATCACTATCGTCCATGCTCATTTATACCAAATCTGCAACATTTTTAATTTTGACGTGTTGCTTGACCTCAGGTTAACAATGTGTTGACTTTTAAATTTTATCCGGACAGCGTTCCTTATATAGCGGTTTCCCTTGTTTCTCTTTTGCTCATATATTATTATTATCATTTTCTGATCATTATTCATAATTGAGATACTACCTGATCTTTTAAAACGTATATGAAGAACATCTTTGTCGTGACTAAATTATTTTTAATTTTTAGACACGCTTGCTAGATCCAATAGGCCTTATTGCTGGCACGCAAACACGTGGTTCTGATTATGACCTTTCCAGCGAAGATAAGGTAATTATCAATACAACAGACACCTAGACTCTGTTGAAACCGTTTAGATACTTTTCCAAAATATTAAAATATAGTTACTTTGTCGTTATTGTTTGCACATAAATGTTTACTATATGCTACTTCATGATGTTTATGTAATGGCCAATCTCACTGGCGTTCCAGTAATGCGAACATTTTATTCGGCATTTGAATATTCGATCCAACATTGATAATCTGTCATTTTTACGAAGAGTGTTTTGAAATTAAATATTTTATAGCCGTTAAGAATTTCTAAATCTTTAACATGTTTAATATGATAGGACATATAACGACTTCCGTCTGCAAAGCTTTTTTTCGAACATTCTATGGTAAAGCTGCATGCCCCGAGATGGGCCAGAATAATTCAAGAAAATCAAACATGAGAAAAATGTTCCAGGGTTTGAATAAAAGTGAAAAGGATTCAAGATTAATGACTGCTTGCAGTATTTATTACCATCTTTCCGCTTCTTGACTAACACAGTAAAGGCTATTGTTGCATATTTTGTGCTCCTTTTGACCGCTACCAATGTGTAAATTATTGTCTTTGTTCCCTTCATAATATTTTACTTTTACACGCCAATGTTTTTTCTCTATGAATCGGCAAATATCGACTAATGTCTGGCGTCTGGCGATATCGTAATAAAACGCCGGAGATACTTTCGCCCGCTGTCTGCAGGTCTATTTTTAGTGGCGTGAAAGGGTGTTTTCTACTGTGACATCAGAATTTGAGGATACCAATATGGCGGCTCGTTTAAATGTTAAAAGAAACTATAACAAGTATTATCTTTTCCAAAAATGCTATAACTAGCCGTTCAGCCAAGTATTCGAAAAACATTTCATCATATAGACTCATTCCTGAACAATAGAGTAAATGTTTTTTATTTTCTATATGAAAAATACTCCGAATACGCTTTAACCCGCAGGAGCCTTCACGCTGGTTTCGAGATTCGTGTATGAAGTTAGTATTACAATTCAAAACATAGGTAACCCGTCAAAAACATGGGAGATAGCGTGCCCCTTAGGTGTCCCGTTTTTGAGATCTTTTGTCGTCCATTTTTCTGATGTGATATTAAATTCTCCATTCTGATTGGCTTAGAGCAGGCGGTGTACCGGTAAAAATGGTCAAATTGTGTTAATTCGTATATGTCGCCACAAAAGTATGGAAGAACGTAAAAGGCTTTAGTAAAACAATTATATGTTCATTTCCTATAGGAAGATCTGATGAATATACAGAAAAGTGCCAAACGACATTTTGATGAAAATGTAAGAATATCCAACAGCCCCAACAGAGATGCTTATCATGAATCCAAAAGCAAGACATTGCCTCCGATTGGCAGCCGAGTACGGAGAGGTCCGGACTGGCATTATAGACAGCAAGATAGCAATGGCACTGGAACGGTCATAGGGCATGCTGGTAACGGTAAGTCAAACAGATCAGTTCAACATTGTTCTGAAGGAACTGAAAACATTTTTTTCGAGGTTTAATATTCGATTTGATGTAGGTCTAGACCAAAAGCGTGTGTGCAAAATTTCAGATTATTTGCTCCAAAATAATTAATCTATTTGTGCCAATTTACCCAAAATTGAAAAGCTTTGGAAGGTTTTCACTCAACCGGGCTAAGAACAGCACACAAATACGATTTTCAATTCATTTTTGAGTATATTTCTGAATTGGTATCATTTATATATGTTTCTGTTTTCCAGTTGATCTTTGTAAGAAATTCAAATTATATGTTTTTAGACTTTTTGACGGAAGTGGAGTTCCTTTAATATAACCCCTGATAACTAAAATCATGCACGGAGGGGCACTTTAGGTCTTAATCTATCAGTAAAGTTTGAAAGTCGCCACATGGCCTTTAGTGTGTGGGTGGACGTAAACCCCAACAACAAAAATTAAAAGTATAAAAGTATTAAATAGTATAAAAGCATTTTATTGCTTTTGATTTTTAGACTAGTTTTTTTTGTTTGACTGTTCGGTTTTACGGCGCACCGACACAGTACAAATGTATAGGTCATATTGAGCCGAAAAATTAAAGATGATTTTGAGAGATCTCAGGAGTTACAAACTTCAAAACAACACCAGGAGTCAAAACCACCTCATCTGCTGTAGCTAAGAGATGCATAGACTCCAGGGTTCTTCAAAACCGTTTATTCACCTCTTATGGTACTCTCCTGCGCATCGGTCGAATGTTTCACTTAGCGTGAGTGCATTCAGTAAGCTGCGAAGGGAGCGTACTCTTATGGTCACGCAGGGATAAACAGTGACTGCTTTTCTTAAGCCTCAACAATTAAAGGCGACCCCTCAGCCATAAGGGGCATATAGACTTTTAAAGCGGGCCCGGGCTTTGACTTGCCCGGCTATAAACTACATGTGTATATTTAAAAGAAAATCAAATAAAAAAACAATTAAAGAATACATAGAACTTTATACCTATCAATGAAATTTTCAGTGTCAGTTCTAGTCGGGCGGCGCCATTTTCAATGTTATTCAATGATAATAGGCGGGATATTCCGGTAACGGACAATCGCAACTTTTAGGATAAATAATACTCAAGTGAAAACGGAAGCTGTCTATATAATACCGAATGACACCTTTAAAACGGAAAAATTAACCTTTTTTAACAGACTTCACCGTTCATAGGCTTTGCCTAATTTCATATTACACTATTCAGGGCAAGGGACATTTATAGAAAGGTTATCTTGACCAAACAATTTATAGATCAATTGACACTACCTGTCTCATATTTCAGTTGCTTGCTATGACTGTAAATGCTACAAATATATAACATTTTATAATATGAGTGATGTTTCAATGCGCTTTGTTTTATTTCTTCCTATTAAAGATCAACAGCTTTGGATAGAATGGGATGCAGATGAAAATCAAAATGTTTATATGTATGGGGCTCTAGGATATGACGTGCTTATTGTGGATGAACCCAGAAAACTTAAACCAGGGGAGAAAATAGCAGTTGGTTGTAAAGTAGTACCTGGTACATATCTTTATAATATTATTTGATAATACTACCTGTTTGTAACGTCATATTCATTGGATAATCGTGACGTTTAGTATTACTTTTTATAATACTGCCCGATTGTAACGTCATTTCTCATTGGATAACCTTGCATTTATTAAAACATTTTATAATACAGCCCGTTTGTAACGACACTTTTCATTAAATAATCGTGACGTTTATTATAACAGTTTATAATACTGCCCGTTTGTAACGTCACTTTTCATTGGATAATCTTGACATTTATTATTACATTTTATAATACTGCACGTTTGTAACGTTATTTTTCATTGGATATTCTTGACGTTTATATAGTTTTATTTACACGGCTGCTGTCCATTTATAAAGAAATCTCATTTTTTTCTCTAAAAAAGGAAGTTTGCAGGATTATAAATTCGTTTTAAATATGTCTGACAGGTTATATAACCGAATATTATACAGTTATTTCATATGTGATTTGGGAACAGTCAAACTGTTGGCCCGAGGTGGAGGGGGTAGTGTTTTGGACTGTTGCCCAAGGCCGTAGGCCAAGGGCAACAGTTCAAAACACTATCCCCGACATCGAGGGACAACTGTTTGACTGTTCCCAAATCACGCATGAAATAACTGTTTAATTACCTGACCAACTACTGTTTTAACAGTATTTGCAGAAGAACAAAGGAACAAGAAAATAGTTTTGCACATATGTTAATAATTAAACTTAATATTTTAACTATGTCACGTCACGTCTGGTTCATGATCAATATCGATGGACGCTTCAAGTGGGAATCCTCTATGACGTCAATGACGTCAGAGCACGAGAGGGAAACAGTCGAAACTATTGACCGGTCAACAGTTCGCGAACGTTGACGTTTTTAGAATTTCAGAAAACAGTAAATTATAACAAATTACATTTATATTAGGTATCAGGTAATAAAAACGGTTGTTTGCAATATAACCCTTGCCCGGCGGCTCGGGTTATATTTACAAACAACCGTTTATATAGGGTCATATAACCTGTCAACAATCTTTATAACTAATAATATACACGACTGCGGTTAATTTATGAAGACTTTGTCCTCTAAAGAATGAAGTTTGCAGTGTTATAAATTCGTTATAAAGTTTTTGGACAGATGATATTGCTGAATATAATCAGTTATTTGTAATAAAAACTGTTTCTATAGGGCCATTTAACCTGTCAAAAATCTTTATATCTAATATTATAACTGTTATTGTCAAATATTGTTTTGCGTATTTTTGGGTTGTGCAAATCCAGAAATTATAGAACTTGACTTATTAGATATACTATGAATCAAAAATGATTGGCTAAGAAGAAAATTAGAAAATATTTTTTATAATATGCTGTTTGGAACAAAATATTTACTTTTTGTTTGGAATAAAAATATTTGGTTATCACTTATATTGTTATAACATTTTAAGTTAAATGTTTAAAGGAAAGGACTGGCAAAACACTGATGGCAACGTAAATCTGGGCGTGGTTATTAAAGTAAAGAGAAATAAAAAGAAGGCAAAGGTAAGATACAATAAGTTCGGTAGGAGCGATTGCCTTGTGGCCAGGGATCATGGGCGCGAGCCCTATATGGGGCACGACCGCGTTTCCTTATATGACACAAGTATTGGCTTGTTCCAGGACGTGGAATCGATAGTCATTCAGATAAACTACACTCTTTCTTTATAATCATGCTTAAATAAACAGAGTTTCCTATATAAAACATTATGTGTCGTATATTTTTAAAAGGTTTATTTAAAATTATTGGGAATAAGGAATACCTTTTTTCATTAACTTTGTCTAATATATATAAACTGAAACGATACGCGAACCGCGTTATATTGCAACCCCGTTTTGTTTTCAGTTTGGGCTTAATGTCCTTTTGGTCATTGCTTACTAAGCTTTAAGTATCAAGGATTTAAATTTACATTATAAGCCGGTGTCTGTGGGTGTGAGAGATGTATCTTTGATGATTATACTCAATAAAGTGAATCTGTGATTACCAGCTATTTGTTTTTATTCTCATTGCTCCCGAAAGATCTCTTCCAGATTATTTTACTCGTTATCTTATTAATGTATACAAAATACTGAGACATGTAATAATTAACTTATTGTGTGGACGGTAGCTTGCAATTACCATTAATGTCCATAAAAAGGCTCAATCAAAGCGAGCCTGCAACATTTTCAATTTTGCCGTGTTTGGCTTTCTTTAGGAATTCTGGTTTTCTCTATTTATAGAGGAAAGACAAAATCAAACTAATTGATTAAATCGTTCTCTGCGCATAACAGGAACTTAACGAAGGAAATAAAAATATCAAATCCTTATATCTTTAAAGAAAATCATAGATGTAAAGTAATGCATTTACTAACAAATGTATATTATGTATGCCTCTATGACATGTATGGGACAATTTTCTTAATGTTATTTATTAGGTACGATGGAATAATGGTAAACGTGGCAGTTATATGTATGATGATATACAACAGGTTCAAGTGAAGACAGAGGCCGATTCAAGGAAAGTTTGGTTCTTTTATTTGTTTGTTGATTGGGTTGTAAGTCGTACCGACACGGTAAAGTGACTTGTATGAAACGTTTTAGATTATTAGCTCACTGTTTTACAGAATGATTATTTTACTTTACGTTTATATAAACTCAATATGGGCTATGAGTCGCACAAAAAGAAGAATTACTATTTAATTCTGAGTAAATTGACTTCTGCATGCCTTTCCGTTTTTTGGTGCCCAGTCGATCTATGTAAGAAATTCAAATTTTATGCTTTTGGCTTTTGGAGCTCGGTGTTCTTTTAATCTAAAATGTACATTGTTTAATAATTGAAAGAAAAATAAGTTACAAATGTAAATGTATAATAGGTAAAGATGCGTATATGATATTACAATAATAATCAACTTATTTATTTTCTTATTTTACAGAGGTACCAGCAACCGCTTTAATGAGAGATCTCCAAAGCAAGAATTCGAGTTTGAATTTGAAACTCCGCCTGCCATGACGATAGAAGAGTTTGCGTCTAAACAAGAAAATAAAAAGAATAAAAACTCGAACTAGATATAGATAAAAGTAAAACATTATAATATTATGGTGGCTGATTTGGTATCGTTATCGTTGTCGCGCTGTGTTCTTGTTCGTCCTGTCTCTAGCGAAGCTCGCCTAACGGCGTGTTGTCGCAATGTCGCCCTGTCGCTTGGCTTATAAGCCAATCCTGCGATTTGAACCGATTGAAGGACAGCTGAGATAAAATATTTACGAATGGATATCATTTCTATTTATGCGTGAACACATTTCGTCATATCCATTTCTATTGTTATATAATATTCATAACTTCTTACGTCGCGACTGGACTTAAGCAGATTTTGTGCATCTTATTGATTTGTTTCGAGCTTTCGTAGAAAATCCCCCAGATATAGCCAAAAGAGTTACGGTCCAGAAAACCTTTTATTGTACTGAAATGAACTTTTGGTACTCCTATTTTTTTAAACCTGGTTGCCATATTTATGTTATTGTAAAGATCTACTTATATTGGTTAAAATGTATTTGTTTCAGGGACATTCTACATTTGATGTGTGTCGCCGATCCGACTGCTACAAAATGTGAACTAGGCAGATTTTTAGAAGATGGAAAATCAAAATCAGATTTGTCTGATATTCTATCCGGTCGCTTGCAACAAAGAACCAAAATAACATCAGTTTCATAGTACATGATCCAAAGTTATATAAAAAAGTAACTACAGAAGTACATGGTCGCATTATCGGATAAAAAACTGTTTTGTAATACTGAACGTTTGTAACGTCGATTTTCATTGGTTAATTTTGATGTTTATATAATCTATATACACGACTTCTTCTTCTTCTTCTTCCAATACTGTACATAACCCACTCTGGGGCATTGACATACAGGGTGTATGTACAAAGTGTTGTGCGGCGAATAAGTGCAAGTTTACAAGAAGAACAGGTTAAAAATAAAATCGACTCCGGCATATTAGGGCCCCATGACTAGTCCTCCCTTGAAGGCCTCAAGGTTGATTGCTGTGGCTAGGTGCTCTAGAAGCTGGTTCCACATGCGGATGGCCGAAGGTACAAAGGAGAACTTCATGGTGTCTGTTCTGCAGAATGGGACAAGGAATCTGTGTCCGTAGTCATGGCCACCAAGTGTCAGGGGGGTGAAAGTACTGTGCAGCTGGGATGGTTATGAGGTTGTGCGTGATCCTGTAGACCATCACTAGCTTGGCATTGTCCTGGAGCGGCGATGCTGTAGAGTTGGCCAGCCTAGGTCTGTCATCATTGCAGTGGTGCTGCTGGTAGTTTTGTAATCGCCTTTTACAAATCGGGCAGCTTGCCTTTGGACAGCTTCCAGCTGGTTGATGTTGGTGGCTGTGTGTGGGTCCCAGACTGTGCCTGCATACTCCAGGATTGGTCTAACAAGGGTCTTGTAGTCCTGGGCCTTGATGTCTTGTGGGCAGCTTGTGATGTTTCTTCTAAGGAATGATAGAGAGTTGTTGGCATTCTTGATGGTAGATTCTGTGTGTATGTTCCATTAAAAATTATTTGCGATGCTGACACCAAGGTACTTTCCACTTTTGACAGATTAAAGAGTTGATTGGTGGACCTTGTAGGCATAAATGATGGGACTTCTTTTTTGGGGGATTATTTAGTGTATTACTTCGTATTTGATGGGATTGAAAGACATCATCCACTTGCGTTCCCATTTCTGGAGTCTATCTAGGTCTTCTTGGAGGGCTAATGCGTTAGCTTCTGATTTGATTTTCCTGTAGATCAGGCTGTCGTCAGCAAATAGGCAGCTGATGGAAGTCACGCACCTTGGTAGGTCGTTGATGTAAAAGAGGAACAGTAAAGGACCTAGTACTCTCCCCTGGGGTACACCGGAACTAATTGGGGATGATGCGGATGAATGGCCTTCAACGACAACTTGTTGGCTGCGGCCTGGTCCGGACTGTTGTAAATTAATAAAGAAATGTTTTTTCTAGTAGAAGAAGTTTTTTAGTATTATAAATTCATTATAAAGATTCTTAACAGGGTATATGACTCCGAGTATATACAGAAAGAACAAAAATTGCTTAAATGGATGACGCCCATGCGAAGCGGACTTTTGGCGACCATGACTTTTGGCGACGTTATTGCATTATCGCAATGTGCGTAATATTGACCCCTAGCCTTTTCACTCGTCAATCCACAACGAAATGGGACTAATAGCAGGCTAGTATTTTGCTTTACAAAATTCGTAGTATTTATCAACTAGCTGATGAAAAAAAATGACGCGTGAGCTAAATCTATGCAAAGCGACAATCTTGCAGCCATATTTCTCGCGCCAACACAAAAAATATAGTGAAGGCAATCAGTTATACACGGACCAATTTGCAGCAAAATCGGACAAATGGGTAGCTTAAGGAAACAGCGGGTACATTCAGAGTAAATCCATTGGTAGGTTTTTTAACCATTGCATACCAATGGTACTTATGTTTAACGGACAAAATTGGCAGATTATTAGGCAGGAAGACTAGTTCTTTAGAAGTGACGTCACTTTTTTGACGTCATTGAAAATAGCGATTCTGGTCTTATTTTCATTGTTGTATGAAAACTTTAATGATCATATTAGACTGTAATAGAATTGCACATTTTCAAAGTGTTCAGGTTTTCAAATAAACAAAAATTTGATTCTAGATAACTTTTACTAATATAAATACGAGTACAAGTTACAATTTAAGCTGGGTCAAACTATTAGATCAGTCGGTGTTCACCGTTGGTACAAATGTTTTTATCCTAATTGCACAAATAGTAAGATAAAATCCGTTCAGAGTAACTTGTCAACCAGTGGTACAAATGATGATTAAGGTAACCAATGGTATTTTAGTATTGGTAACACTTGTAATACTTTGAATGCACCCAAACGCACTTTGGGGTCAAAATCCCGAAATGAACCCCAAAGTGCGATGATATGCAACATATTAACGCACTTTGGGTTCCATCGTTCTAAAAATGTTAACCGAGTTCTGCTTAAATACTGAGTACTGACTTATTTTTTATCTGCAAGTTCAAAATTAACGTAGATACATAACTATGCAATCATCGAATTTTAAACATGTATTATGTAAGTGATAAATGTTTTATTAATTTTACCACTTTAAATATCGCAAACTTTTTGACTATCAGAATAAACGAATTTAAATGTGTTCGTAAAATAACATATGTTTCTTCGAAGAGCATTCTGTTCTGTTATTTACGTGTGAACAGTTTTGGTGTCATATTAAACTCCAAATTAAATTTAATGGGGGAAAACCGATAAATGATAAATAAAATGTAGTAAACATCAATTTACTTTTTAAAAAACATGTAAATAAAATTATGTTTCAATGACTTATAACAAGTATCTTAGGAGTAACTTTCATTATTGTAGCGCGAGGGCTACAGTTGTAAATTCATTTCAAACCTATTTCACAATTTTCGAGTTTCCGAAATATTTGGACCATATGAACGACCGGAATGACCATAATCACTCGATTAGTAAATGCCTTAAAGTAAATGTTTTTGTTGCTATCTCGTAAACTTCTGCTTTGAAATCTAAATGACTTTTACGTATGTCATGGTATTAGTCAGGTATAACATGTTATGTCATGAGAGTAACTGCTTCTATTAGTAAATGTAAAGTATTCTTAGATATTGATATGTCAGGAATGACTTATTTTCGATTTGTGGCCATTTTGAACGCTATCTTGAGACTTAAAATGAAATGACACGAGTGAAATTTAATGCAAACGATTATTTACGCCACCAGACATTTTATATTTTGATTCATTGAAATCTTACAGAAATATTTAGGAGAATTGTAAGGTTTTACAAAATGTATCTGTTTTAATATACGACCAAAAAAGCTGCATTTTTATAAATGACCGCCATATAAAAAGATAATTTCGTTTTTCAGAAAATTAGCTTTTATATATGTTTGAAAAAAATTCCTGCCATAAATACAGTAAATTTCATCTTAATATTCACCGTTAACATCTTATGACGTATATAGCTTACGCGTGAGCTGTAAACGTTAGTTGAAAGAATCCTAGTTGAAAGTCTATACAGCTTACGAAGATCTATATTTGTTAGTTAGTTTAAACATATTTATTTAGCTCGATTATGAAACGAGTTTTTGCACTTTATATAAATTACTTTTCTCGTCCACTTCCTGGTACTAGTGTCTTATGAGAAAAAAATGATCGTGACTTGCGAAGGGCACGAACACTTGATCCCTGGGTTGAGGGGCAGACACCTTATAATAAGCCACTAGGCAAGCGCTCCTCTTGTTAGGTTTTCGTTAATTTACGACGTTAGCTTACGTAAGCTGTAAACGTTGGAAATGTGCATCCAATTTTTGGTCGTCGTCGTTATCGTCGAAGCTGAAGGTGTAGTCTTGGTTGTAGTTATAATTCGTCAGTCAGTCAAAGTCGTCGTCATCATTGCAGTTGTTTCCGTACTTGTCGCAGTTTTAGTTGAAGTCACTGAAGAGTGGACGTCGCCGAAGGTGTCGTTGTGAAAGCAATTATGGTAGTAATCTTGGTCGCAGATGATGTCGAATCAGCATTCGTAGAAGTACTTGTCGTACAGATGTGTAAAAAGTTTTTTATTTCAACTAGGCCCATATGGGCATCAGTTTCATAAACAGTAAAATTTCACAAACAAACGAGCATTAACAAAACAATAATACAGCTGTGTAAATAAAGCTTGAGACAAAATAATTGGCATGATAAATACAAAAATAAGACTAGAGATACTTATGAATGACTTTACAAATGAGAGACTAGAATGAGACATAATGCAATCGCACAATGAAAGTTCCTGACCAAAAACGCAAATGAAGTGATGCAGCGACATGGTGTAACCACAACATGGGGCCCACGAAGCCCCACATTGCAACCACACCACGCCGGTACAATAAGTTCCACAAAAATTAAATAGGAAGTGTCACAATGCGATTACAAATGTCATGAGACCTTAAAGATGAAAAAAATAATAAAAAATTAAATAAAATACATAAAAATAGATAAAGTAAACAATGAAAATCAAGACAATACTTGGCAATACTAGTAGATACTGACTAGAAGGTGGTAAACATTATTTCATAATAGACATTATTCTTTGTGTAAAAACAGACAGTTTGATTAATACAGTTCTATCAGTATTTTGAAATAATTGCTGTAAATTAAATATGTTACCTCTTCGTAAATTAATGGGCAAGTACTTTCTACGATAACTGTTAAAATAAGTTCACTGAAAAATTTAATGAAACTCAAACACAATATCGTCAAAATTATCAATTGAACTTTAAGAAGAGCCGTCGGGTGGTATATAAATAACACCACAAATAATATTGTATCATTCGTAGTCGAAGAAATAATCGCATTTTGTGGCAAATTCTAAAAGTCGTAGGTAGTCGTTTAAGTTGTAGTTGTTATCGTAGTCATAGCTGTACTTGTAGTCATTAATGGTGTAGAAGACGTAGTCGTGGTCGTGATCGAAGTCGTAATGATCGTAGCCGAATTAAAAGTCGCAAAATTATAGACGTGGTCTTTGCCATTGTCCTGGTCGAAGTTGTTCGGACGATCACAAGTTTAGTCATCTAACAAAATAGGCTACTAGTATATACGATAATATGCAGCATCTTGGCGTATACAGCTATAACGGTAGGCTGCTTTCGTTGTAAGCTGTATACAGCTGTAAATGTTAATTATTGTATTCACATCAAACATATTTATATATACATGTACATGTATCTTACATTAAGGCCCTCATTCTATGACACACATAATGAAATACAAAAATATAATTACTTGCAAATTGGGAAATAAGCCGAGCGATCATCTGTTATTGTTATCGTCTTTATATATATCGCCAAGTACTTCATTCCTTATTTTAAGTTAACCCTTGGCATTAACAAAAACATATTACTTTAAAATATAACTACATGTATAATTCTTTTTTATTGGTTAGATTTTTATGACCCCAAAGTGCGGTCGTTTGTCTGATGTTAGAAATTGCGTATGTACCTGTGTAACGCACTTTTGGGTCAAAATTTGAACCTAAAGTGCGTAACACACTTTAGGGTCGGACCCCAAAGTACGTAACGTGTAACCCCAAAGTGCGGTGTTACACAGCGCTATCAGCATTGACTTCACATTGTTGTTCTTTAGATATGCAATGTTTTACTGTTATCAATATCTAATTCGAGTTTTTATTCTTTTTCTTTCCTTGTTTAGCCGCAAATTCTTCTATCGTCATGGCTGGCGGAACTTCAAATTCAAATTCTTGCCTTGGAGATCTCTTATTAAAGCGGTTGCTGGCACCTCTGCAAAATAAATAAATAAATAAGTTGATTATTATAGTAATATCAAATACACATATATTGTTCCTTTTTCAACAAAATAAATTAAAAACTACACTTTGTAACTTATTTTTCTTTCAATTTTGTGATTCATAGCCCGAATTGACTTCATCAGTTTATATTTAGTGTCCTAGCCTACATCAAATGGTACATAAATCTCGAAAAAAATATTCAGTCTCGACCTAAGTCGACTCCCTTTTGACACTAACAAACTCGGTGCCGTTGAGCGTATGTATTGAGCGTATGTATGTATATATGTATGTATGTATGTATGTATGTATGTATGTATGTATGTATGTATGTATGTATGTATGTATGTATGTATGTATGTATGTATGTAGGTAGGTATGTATGTATGTATGTATGTATGTATGTATGTATGTATGTATGTATGTATGTATGTATGTATGTATGTATGTAGGTAGGTATGTATGTATGTATGTAGTTCATGCTTAATGAGGGTCCATCCGCCCTTTCGCTGTCGAATACGTTGATGACATGTTCTTACAAAAAAGTGGTGATAATTTACCTCCATGCAATTTCCACGGAGTATTAGCCAAAGATATGAATTTTGAGTCAAAAGTAGGTCACTGTACGTCAATGAGAACCTAAATGTACAATAACCTGAGACAATATGAAAGGGTAACTACAGTACACTAGACAGTATTATATACAAGTGTTATGCAGCTCACTCGAAATCCGTTTGACTTTTAATACTTACATACATTTTAATCAAATAGTTTATACTGAGTGTATAAATTCTTTTCAAATTATAATTATATCATTCTATGCAGTATTCGTATAATTCCACATATTATATATTCATATATTAATACTAAAACAATTCATTTTAATATTGAAACAGTTCATATATTAACATTAATATAATTGATATATTAATATTAAAACTGTTCATATATTGTTATTAAAATTGTTCAGATGTTAGTATTAAAACAATATCAATATTAAAAGAAATCAAATATTAATATTAAAGCAGTTCATATATTAATATTAAAACAGTTGCAACATACAACTTTTTTGCCATTTTCATTTGCATGCGATTGAATGTACATGTATTATATTTTCATGATTGATGATAAGCTGTATATATGCTTAAGTCAAAATAAATATTCTGTTATGTTCATTTATTATTATTAAAAGTATTAAGTTCATATATGTATACTATTAAAAACAGTGCATATATGGATATTAAAACAGTTCAAATATGCTGAATCGTATATTTCCAATCGTATTACAAATAAAACATTTTATGTTTTAAATATTTTTACAGATATACTTTTACAATTTGTAAATTAATGAACCAAACTTTCTGAGGAA